AGTATTCTGTCTTTCAAAATCAAGAGATTGTCTTAAAAATAATGAGATTTTAAAAGTCTAATAAATATTGGGTATTTTTAATTTGCCTTTTGTGTTTTGAACCTGTAGGGATAATGATTTTTTACACAATGATGAGGCCTGGAAACTTTCTTTTTTTTAATGGAAGCTGAGATTTTTATGTATTCAAATGATTCCAGGAGCTGGGTATTTAAGGGAAAAAAACCTCAATAGCACAAGTCTCATGATAGAATGATGGGAGTTGGTGATATTGCTCATGCTGTGCAGCCCTTACGTGCCTAGTCCGTAGGGTTGCAGTGAGCCAATTTAAGAATAAATGCTACTCAGTCTGCACAGGGGTGGTAGGCCAGGACATACAGCGAGAAAGAAAGATGGGAACACACTCATGTGACTTGTAATCAAACAAAACCCCACAGACTTACACTAAGGCGAGTATCAATTAAGCAATAAAAGACTTAAAGGGAGAAAACTTTGAAAATAAAATCTCGTCACTCACCTGGCTATGTGACATTTCTGTGTTTCTGCTCACTTCTTGATGAAAAAATTGCCACGTGCATAATCTGTAGCTTGATGTAAGTGCTTGAAAGGCTATGGTTTCACAAGCAAAGATTTAGTTTCATTTTTGTATTCTTATGCTGGAAAAAAAGAAATAAAATGCTCTCTCCCCCCGCCTTTTTTAAAGCTCTATGAAAGAGGAAGAAAGAGCATCACTTCAGTGTAAAGGACACAAACACTTACTGGACATACTGACGTGTCTGTTTATCTAAGTACTAAACATCAGCCTCTCTTGGCTGGAAATTAGAGGAAGTATTTTGTTCCTTTTCAAAAATATGCATTGAGCGAGTGTGGTTTTTTTAAACTAAGGATAGATGGTTCCAAAAGATTCTTTTTGAGCCAGTCCTCAAGAAACTAACTCTAGATATTCACAATCTGTCTAACCAATTGACAAGGATTCAGTCTCTGACTTTAGGAAAAGTTACCAAGGAGGTTATGACAGAGCAGTTGTGGCTTTTGTCTGAGTCCGGTTCCTTGATGTCTGTTGATTGGGCTATAGCCGGGGTCACCAACCAGTAGATGAGGATCTACCGGTAGATCTTGGAGCCTCTGACAGGTGATCCTGACTGCTTTGGCAAAGAGGCTATTGAGGGCCAGCACTTCAGCTGCCCCTCCTCCCACTGCTGCTCATCTCCTGCCCTTTGCCTTGGAGCTGTTCCTTCCCCCCACCCCCCAGCATCCTCCTTGCTGGGCAGGGCAGGGCAGGGGAGGGAGAAGAGGGCTAAGATGACAAGGTGTCTCCTCTCCCACTTCATATCCTATCTCCACAGAGTAGAGAGGGGGCACAACAGGATTTGAGAGGGAGTTTCTGGCTGCTTTTGGGAGTGCTGCAGAGTCAGGGCAGGGATGAGCCTGCCTTAACTCCACTGTACCACCACTCACGTGCCACCTGAGGTAAGCAGAGCCCAGTTGGAGCCCACATCCCAAACTCCTACCCCAGTCATGAACCCCTTCCTGCACTCCAACCCCCTGCCCCAGCTCTGAGCACCCCTGCCTCCAAACACCCTTCTAGAGTCTGCACGTAGAACTCCCTCCGGCATCCCAACTGCCTGCCCCAAGAGCAGCTCAGGACCCCTCTCACACTCCAGATCCCTTAATCCAAGACCAGAGCCTGCGCCCTAGCCCTCTCCTCTCCTCCAAGTAAATGAGGATGGGCAAGAGAGTGAGGATGGAGTGAGCAGGGGCAGGGCCTCAGAGAAGGGGCAGGAAGGAGGCGGGGCAAGGTTATTTATACTTGAGGTAGATCTTGAATTGCATTTAAATTCAAAAAGTGATCTCGTGCTTTTTGAAGACCACTGGGCTATAGGAATGAAATAGAAACTATGCTGCTTATGATTTCTACCCACCCATGGATGGCAATGAAGTATTTGTATTGATTAGCTTGAATTTTCAGCAGTTTCTTGAATTGAATTGACTCATTAGTGGAATCTACTAAGGATGAATGGAGCTGGTTTTGAGGGACTCCATTTTGATCTTTTAGAGAAATCCCAAAAGACAATTGTGGACAACTGTTCTTATGCCCCAAGAGTACAGTCCTGCATGATACTGTAATGCAGGGCTACTCAACTTTGGAAGCTATGGGGGCCACAATGATACTCACAGCACATGCTGAGGGCCACAACTTAAGTATGGTTGCATAGACAAGCAAATATATATGCAAATATATGCATATAGCTTCTTTCACACTGACAGGCATGAATACAAAAATAAGGTAGGACTACACAACACGCAGGCCCCATTTAAATCATTTCTGCTGATATTAATAAAATGCAATATTTACCTGATTCCCACCCATATGACAGCACTTTTAATGACCAATGACAGCCCAAGAATTTAACTACTTCAATGCATATCAATAGAAGACCATTATATTGACTACTTTTTTGTTTTAGCTCCCACTCACAGGCAATGTGTTGAGGAACCCTGCTGTAATATCTATACAAGCAACCTTTTTGTTTGAATTGTATGTCAGGTTGAACAGAGCGTTAATGAGGAAACACAGGCTGCAAGGTAGTCAATATGTACTTTTCCATGACCTCTGACTCAGCTGGAACAATGGAACCAATAACTCATTGTCTAGATGAATTTGGGATAGGATGAAGGCTTGTTGGCTGCAACTTATGTTCTTATGTTCTTATGACAAGACTGAGAGAATGTCACGGGGTTGGGAAAAGCAGCCAGAAGCGCTGATGTAACTGATTTTGGCTCAGCTGATTGAGGGAATAGGATTGCTATGTGCAACACAGGTATGTTGTTAAATCATGGCCTGGGCCTGGATATCAGGTGAGGTCAATATTTCATTAAATGTCCCAGTATTTCTCACCAATTCCAGATTATACATAATCAAAAGATGTATGTATCAAAAGATAGCAGATACCTCAAAAACAAAACAGTATGGCTATGTCTAGACTGGCATGATTTTCTGCAAATGCTTTTAACGGAAAAGTTTTCCGTTAAAAGCATTTGCGGAAAAAAGCATCTAGATTGGCACGGACATTTTTCCGCAAAAGCACTTTTTGCGGAAAAGCATCCGTGCCAATCTAGACGCGCTTTTGCGCAAAAAAGCCCCGATCGCCATTTTCGCGATCAGGGCTTTTTTGTGCAAAACAAATCTGAGCTGTCTGCACTGGCCCTTTTGCGTAAAAGCTTTTGCGCAAAAGGCCTTTTGCCCGAATGGGATCTGCATAGTATTTTCGCAAGAAGCACTGATTTCTTACATGAGATGGTCAGTGTTCTTGCGGAAATTCAAGCGGCCAGTGTAGACAACTGGCAAGTTTTTCTGCAAAAGCAGCTGCTTTTGCGGAAAAACTTGCCAGTCTAGACACAGCTAAGTATTAAATAGAAAATACATTTATCTCACACTTTTTCATTTTTAAAGTGATTTTACAAACTGAAATCTAGCTTTGGCAGTTTTCATCCTGATTATAAAAAAGCTATTAAAAGTTTTTTCAAAAATCCTAGTAATCCTGCATTGCCTGTCTAAAAATGTTTTATCTAACATTGTTACAACTGAAAGGAATTAGAGGGGGAAGTCTCTGTTTTTCTAGCTTGTTTTCTGTATGCATTTGACGGAACTTCATAAAAAACAACTTCCCTGTTTCCCTTGTATAATAACCTTCACAGAGGAAAAATGCTTTAAGAATGAACAAAATGTGATAAGCTGGGAATTTAAGACGTGCCACATTCACATGGAGGTAACGAATTTTAGTACATGAACTTCATTTTTTTCAAAATATGTAAATATTATTAAATGTATTCATAGGTGATTCACCGAGATAAGTGTACGTGCAAAGTTCTGAACCGAAAAATGCTCAACATATTTTAAAAGTTTGGTGTATAGAATCCAAAAGGTTCCTCTTTCAGATCTGGTAAAAAAAACAACACTTCTACCTTTTTCACTTTTGCAGGTGTGTAACCCCTTTTTTGGTCAGGAAGTGTGATGAGGCACAAACACTTTTAGTCCATCCTTTCCTTTAGAGGTGGCGTGATTGCAGAATTTACAATATCCTTTTTCTTAGTACAGATTCCATGCTGACTTCTAATTAGATGCCCCTTTTCAGTGAGAACTTGAAATTCATGTTCATTAAAATTCTCTTTCTTGGATACAGGATTTTGATCCATTTTTCAGAACTGTTGCCTATTAATTTAATCTTCATTGATAAGAAAAGTCCATTTTGGGTAATGTCTTTGAATACAGTGACTTGGGAAATGAAAATATCTCTAAATAACATTTCTCGATTTTTTTTTCAGGCTAAACAACTTGATTCAGTAAAATATTCTATATATAAACCATAGTATATAGAACCGAACACTTTCTACTCAGAGAGACCTATATAAAAAATAACGTATGTGAGCTGAGATGCTCCATTGCCAAGAGAATAAACTAAGGCAAAAATTATCCAACCCCTACTCCTAAAATAATACGTACAGATTTAAATGGAAGTAATGGGAATAGAAAAGTACTAATGACTATTCCTGTCAGAGCTGCAGTCACAGATTGTGAAAGAAAAAATTGCACAAAAGCATTGCATCAGTGGTTCCACCAATGACAGCTGACCAAGCAAAAGAAAAGAGACCTACTGCTGAATTCCAGTATTTGGAGAAGATATAATCAGTAACTTCTGTATCTATTTTCTGTTATAAAAATGTGGTGGTAGTAGAAGTTGAGTATAAAGAAAGGTCTAGCTCTGAGCAGCTGTGCAGTGGGAATACTGAACCATCCCACTCATTTGTAAAGCAATGAATTAATAGAGTGTGCGCAACAATTACTTGAACCTATTACCCTTACATTTATGGGACACAGATAGTCAATTAATCTTTCGAAATTGTTAGCTTGAACTGTTGCCTACACAGGACAGATCAGAGTGCCTGCCAACTTGAGAGCTGGCACAGCATCAGTCCTCCATCCTTCCATTGTTTTTCAGTCAAAAGATTTTCAGCTTCTGTTGGTGTATGGCAAATATGAGAAGACTCTATGGATTCTAAAGCATGAGATCAATAGGAAGCACTGGCACCAGAGCTGTAAGCCTCAGTAAGAAAGGTAAGCACTTCATCTCTGACTGTTAATGACTGTGAGCCTGTTCTTACTTCCACTAAAGTCAACGACAATAAAGCCAGTGCTGTTCTGGCAGTGGGAAGATAATGTATAGCTGTTCAGTTGTGTACATGTAGAAGGCAGAAAGGACTTGTTTGTTTGAATAGCAGACCAGAATTTCAAAATATAAACTAAATTGCCTGTGGCAACATTTTTAAGGAGTGACAGACCTGCCTTATTCTTTCCTTGATTGTTTATGTGGTTGCATTAGATGTTCTGAGCAACTCCAGGGGCCCATTATATTCGGTATTGTACAAAAATAGAGGCAGAGACTGAGGAGACAGGTGTATATGTAGTTTGATGGTAAAAATATAAGCACTTTTTTTGCAGTTGAACCTTACTGTTAATGAAAGGGAGCCTCAGAAGTCTGAGCATATGCAATCAGCATTAGTTGATTATGTTAAAACATCTAACGATATTAATGACTATTACAATTCCTCCGTGACTTAAACCAGAATTTTTAAATATCCAAAGGCATGTCTCTGTAAAAATAAGGCCAGGTCTGTCACCAGTGAATTTTATTAATATAAATTTATAGTATGAATTTGCTTTAAGGACTTCTTGTACTCCCAAAATAAGGTATCAGGAATGCGAGGGAAAAAATCCAACAGAAAATTGCTATGTAAAAAGAAATCAGAATCTGAATTCCTTCATAATTAAACTTAAACTGGGTTTGAATTCACTTGTATTGATTTTTCTCTTCCCACTGCTCCTTTTCTCTTTTAAGAAATTGAATAAAAGAAAACCAAATACAATGACTAAGCTATTCTGGCTAGTATGGATCTTCTTCATGGTCATAACAGCAAATGTTTCTGAAGAAAAAGCCACAAAACAGCTGTGTCCTTCCTGTGATACCACTCATTTTTGTGACTGTTCTTCAATGAATTTGAGCATCATTCCTTCAGGACTAACAACTGATGTCACAGGGCTAAATCTGTCCTACAACAGAATCAAATCTGTCAAAGAAACTGATTTGCAGCTAGGTCTGAATCTCAGAGTGCTGCTCCTGCAAGCCAATCAAATTTGGACAATAGATAAGGATTCATTTGTTTTCCTTGGAAAATTGGAACATTTGGATTTATCAGATAATAAGTTGACTAACTTGTCATCCAATTGGTTCAGATATCTTTTTTCCTTACAGCACCTAAACATAAAAGGTAATTTATATACAATATTGGGGGACAATCCCTTATTTTTTAACCTCAAAAATTTGAGCTATCTGCATCTGGGGAATAAAAATTCCTTCTCTGCTATACGGAAACAAGACTTTGATGGAATTACAGTTCTTCGGCAACTTGACATTCATGGTCAAAGGCTCAAGCAATATGAGTCAGGGAGTCTGACAACAGTGAACATAAATCATATAATCATAAACATAAATGATGTTCACGTGTTATCGCGGATGGTAGAAGACTTAATACATTCTGTAATATGTTTAGAACTGAGAGAGATAGACTTCAGAACAGCTAATGAATCTTCGTTACTGGAGCCAATGAGTCATTCTGTTATGGAGAAACTTGTGTTAAAAAATGTCTGGTTTATAGATTCAACGATTGTCAAAGTGTTAAACATCCTAGGTCGAGCTAAAAAATTTGTGGAGCTGGAGGTGGACAATTCTGTACTACGGGGGACTGGACAATGGCATGGACAAATTGAAGTAAACAGAGAAATCTCCTTTAAAGTGCTCACAGTACAGAATTTAGTTATAGAACAATTTTATTTGTTTTCAGATCTTACGGGTGTGGAAAATCTTCTAGCTAACATTACCAAAATCACAGTTGTGAATACCAATGTCTTCTTGGTGCCTTGCAGCATTTCAAGACATTTTTCCTCCCTCCTTTATCTTGATCTCAGTGAAAATTTGCTTGCAGATCCAAGTTTGAAACATTCATCTTGTGAAGGTGCATGGCCCTTGCTGCAAACTTTCAATTTAAGTCAAAATTCACTGGGTGATTTAGAAAAGACAGGGCAAAGTCTATCTCATTTAAAACATCTTACTCACCTAGATATTAGCCGAAACAATTTTGGTGAAGTTCCAGAATTGTGTCAATGGCCAGAAAACCTAAGATATTTCAATATCTCAGGCACTCAGATAACCACGCTGACAGCTTGTATTCCTCAAACTCTAGAAGTTTTGGATGTTAGCAGTAATAACCTCAATGATTTTAGATTAAAGCTACCATTTCTCAAAGAGCTCTACATTTCAAATAACAAATTAAAGAACTTGCCAGGTGCTGAATTTATTTCTAACTTGGTGTCCCTAAGAATCAGCAGAAACAAATTAACCAGTTTCTCTAAGGAAGAATTTGGATCATTTAGGGAAATGAAGACACTGGATGCTAGTGACAATAATTTTATCTGCTCTTGTGAATTTCTCACCTTCAGTCAGGGCCAGGAAGGAATAACAAATGTCTTGGCTAACTGGCCAGAAAACTACATCTGTGACTCTCCGTTTTCTGTGAGAGGGCAGCAGGTGAAGGCTGCTCGGCTTTCACTGTTTGAATGTCACATGACTTTGGCTGTGTCCTCAATTTGCATTCTAGTGTTCTTAGTAATCCTGTTTATTGTTATCCTGAGCTACAAACTTCATCTGATCTGGTACATGAGAATGACCTGGGCTTGGCTTCAAGCAAAAAGGAAACCCAAGAAATTACTCAATCAGGACTTTTGCTACGATGCTTTTATTTCCTACAGCGAGAGAGATGCCGAGTGGGTTGAAAACTTAATGGTACAGGAACTCGAGCATGCTCTCCCCCCATTTAAACTGTGCCTTCATAAACGGGACTTTTTGCCTGGGAAGTGGATCGTTGACAACATCATTGACTCCATTGAAAAAAGCCGTAAAACTCTGTTTGTGCTGTCAGAGCACTTTGTTCAGAGTGAGTGGTGCAAGTATGAGCTGGACTTTTCGCATTTCCGTCTGTTTGATGAGAATAATGATGCAGCAATTTTGATCCTTTTGGAGCCCATTCAGGAGCAAACAATTCCCAAAAGGTTCTGTAAACTGAGGAAAATAATGAACACAAAGACCTACGTTGAATGGCCTCGTGACAAAAATCAGCAGCAAATATTTTGGAATAAACTGAAAGCAGCATTAAAATCCTAGGATGAGTCATTTAAAATTGAACTATTAACTCAGTCATACTACATTTCCAAGAAGAACATTTTCTAAGCCTTTTTTTGGTTAAGAAATGTTTTGTTATGCTCATTGTTGTATCAGTATTGTGGAGGCTTGATTTGAGAGATTACTAAACTAAGTATTGCTTTGTGAAATGAAAGAGGATACTAAGAACATCCAAATGTTGTATTGATTTTTTGTTGTTCTGACCTTTCTCTTAATAACTACCCAAAGCATCCCTGTCTATAAAAATGCATTTGAAAGAAATCTATTGATTACATCATATCTTATTTTTTTTAGATACCATCAGATTATTTAAAATCATTTAATGAAAATGGAGTGGAAAAGTAGAAATTGCCTAAGTAGATTCAAAACAAGATCTCTGAGGCTAGGTCCTCATAGATAATAGATCAAACTTGTAACTCCCATGGAAACAGTGGATTTGTACCAGGACTGTATGTGGCCCAACAATTAAAGAATGAAGCAATCTGACAAATATGTCAGATGCTGGGTGTAAAAATGTTGTGATGTATCTAGGCTCAAAGATCACAGGAATACTGATAGTCTATGTCAGTGGTTGCCAACCTTTTTGAGCATACAGAACCCTTTCCAATCTGTTAAAATTGTATGGACCCCCACAAGAGGAGCGGTGGGAAGCGGCAGCCGGCACATACCTTGGCCTGTGCTACTTTTTCAGTTCCCGCCCCGTCTGTCCTGTGCCCATCCATGGAGGATACGGTGAGGGGGCTTTTGTGGCAAAAGGCAGCTCCTGCCTCAGCACTCCGCCCTTGGCCGGGCAGGGAGCCCTGGGGGAGAAGAAAAAAGAAAAGGAAAAGAAAAGTCAGAATCAGGCCCAATGCCATGCTGGGATGGGGGAGAGGGCTGGAGTATGTACAACAGTGCAGCTGGTGGCAAGAGGATGGATATTGACCCTTATATCAAGAGCCCATCCCGAGAGCAGGAGGCAGTGAGTGCAGCCGCGAATGGTGAGCCCTGGGCAAGAATCACCTGGTGGAAAGTCCCGGTCCCACAGTGGACCCGATCCTTACTTTTTCTTTCCTTTCTTAAACTTTCTGCGGATCTCCTACATTACCATTGCAGACCCCCAGGTGTCCACAGACCTCAGGTTAGGAACCACTGGTCTATGTACTTAATTATTTCTGTGCGTGTATTATTTATGTTGGGGTAGACACTATAAAAACATTAAAGTTGAAGTCCCCATTTCTAATAGCTTACTATTAGATAGTCAAACAGACAAAATGCTTGTGTCTGATGTTAAGTACATACGGTTTCCTCAACCTCTTCCCAGCTAATTTTTTCCACTATTTCTGCCCCAATATTACTCTTCTTTCCTCCTACCTATACCACTATGACATAGGGGTGATGTTGTGTCCCCATATTTTTTATGAAAACATGGTTTTGAACATGAATATGCCTAACACAAATATGCTTTATACAAAATGGGGCATGTAACCTATCATGGAAGAGCCTGTAATCCCCTAAATGTTTATATTCTGTTTGTGTGCATATCTCATCACTGTTTTAAAAGTTAGAAATATGAAGTATAAACCTGTTTATTAATCTAGGTTTGCTAGTGAAAGCTATTAGTGGTACTTAAGGACCTGGTATTCAAGACCTGTGAATAATCTTGTGTTTCCTGTAAGACTGGTTTAGGGTTAGTGCTGCTAAGACATGTGTCTAAGTCACCTGCTGCTGGAATCCATTTGAATCAGCTAAACACAAAGGATTCCTATTTTGGGCAGAATCTATTTATAAATAGGGAACCAGACAATAAGGGTGTTAGCAGATGCCAGACACCAAGACATCCCCTACTTATCATCAAGATGACTGCTGGAAACATCTAAGACTGAGCAAGGGGAAGGATCTGTCTAGCTTGTGAAAAAGATGATTAAACTATTTTTAGGATAAGAAATTATATGTAACTAGTTTCTTAAAATATTAAGCTTAGCTGGTGTGTTTTTTATTTTGCTCAGTAACTGACTTTGACCTGTCTGTTATCACTTGCAACCACTTAAATCCTACTTTTTATACTTAATAAAACCACTTTTATTATTAAACCTGTTGTAAATAGTTGTTATGGGGAGGCAACAGTTGTGCATATTTCTCTTTCATTGATAAAGGGAGCCAACAACATATGAGCTTTCTCTTTGTAAAACTTTTATGCGGAGTAAGATAGATTCGTCTGGGGATTTGTTCTTATTTGGGTTATGTTCCTGGGTACTGTCAAGTCCCCGTGGCTGAGCCTTCACAGAGCTGAGCTGCTCTGTGTCTGTGTTGGTCTGCTTTGTGACCCCAACTCTGGGCCTTTGCTGTGGGAGACCACAGCTCTTGGCTCTACAAGACAGGGTGGTGGGTCAACAGCAGAGCTGACAGCCTCCAGGTGCTTGGGCAAGCTGGGGGATGTGCGGCTGCACCACGTTCCTGGAAGGGGCAGGGCTGAGAGCAGCTGGCTTTCTCAGCACTGCTTGGAGTGCAGCACAATGCACCCCTCACGGCCCATAGCACTGCCCAAAACATACGGTGTAGCCTCCGGCAATAATTTCAGCAGTGGCTGGAGACCTGAGACCCTTTGAATTGTTGGGTTCCAGAGCAACTGCCCCCTGTGCCCCTTTACCCATCTGCAGGCATGTGGAGTGCCTCAAAAGGCTGGTAAGTTGGCCCAGTGATATGATCATCAGGTGAGTTTTAAGGGGATCTCTGTGATCAACCCATCACAATATGTATAGTAGATTCATAGTTTTTAATAGGGTTTTTTTGCACAGATGTACCTTCACCTATGTCATCAGTGCACACCTCATCGGTAAAGACAACATTGTAAAAAGTGAGTTCCACCCATTGTAGTTTGTCATTTTGCATAACTGAGGTACTTCAAGTTAGTCAACATTACTGCAAATATTGGCTACGATCTTTCTGTACCTTAGTTTCCCGTTTGTAAAATGGGGACAATAATACCATCTCCCAGAGAAGTTGTGAAGATAAATTCATTAATGTATGTAAGCCACTAGAAACCTTGATGTTAAACACCATAAACAAATCCCATGAGGAAATTAATGTTATTCAGTATGGGGATTGAATGGTGAGAAGTAAAGTAGCCATGAGACTTCATATTAAGCGTCCAATGTGCCACAAAGTGACTGAAATGAGTATGTGACAGCATCCTAGAGATGGAGCTCTCTAAACCTGGCAACTTCCTTAGCCACTGTTAGCAATAAGCCGACTATATTTAATCACCTTCTACCCACAGAAATGTTTCCTGACATTAACAACTGATTCTGTGCAGCGCTGACTGTTCTCATCTCTCTCTGTAAACACTGGGGCTACGTCTACACTGGCCCCTTTTCCGGAAGGGGCATGTTAATTTCAGCTATCGTAGTAGGGAAATCCGCGGGGGATATTTAAATCCCCCGCGGATTTCCCTACTACGATAGCTGAAATTAACATGCCCCTTCCGGAAAAGGGGCCAGTGTAGACGTAGCCTATGAGTTTGAAAAGTAATACTGAAGAGTTCCTCATTTGATGAGAAACCTTTTCTCACTCATATTGTCACTTCTTTCAAGTGCTTGACTTCAGAACGTTAATACAGTAAAACTCCGATAGTCCGGCATCCAATTGTTCAGCACTCCGGATACTCCAGCATCAAAATGCCAAGCAATCCTAACCAGCTGATTAAAAAGCCTGCCACAGAGTCCACACGCTGGCTGTAACCAGAGGGAGCATAAGGCTAGGGGAGGGGGGGAAGGGAGTGGGATCGTGTTACACTATGGAGAAGAGCGTTTTGCTTCAGCGAAGGGGAAAGGGAGGAGGATCAGGTTACAGCACAGAGGAGCTGCGAAGAGGAAAGGGGAGGGGAGAGGAGGGAGATTGTGTCCTGGCCAGCTGTTAAACCTTGCAGCTGTATGGGATCTCCTGATTCTCCGGCAAATCTGATAATCTGGCACCACCTAGGTCCAAAAGGTGCTGGATTATCGGAAGTCTACTGTAGTCTATCTACTGTTAATGTAGGTTTTTTTCTGTAATTTATAAATATAGCAGGACTATGTCTTTATATTTTATTGGATGGAATTGAGAGAGAACTGATCACACTGTATCTTAAGAGTACAAAAAAGGAAAACTTTTACAGTGTTTGGTTAACATGTAAAACAAAGACTTTCTGAGTTACTATGCTACTGTGATTGTCTTTGGAAACTGTGTCTGCATAAAGCTATTGAACCTCTGATGTACTAAACAACATTTCCTTTCAGGCTGACACTGCAGACTTTCATATCCCTGACAACAGCTAATAGCTGATGTTGTTAGTTCAACTTGTTAGTGGATTTAGGACTAAATGAGAGTTGGAGTTTTTAGTTTATGTAAGAAAATCAGGACCCATGGTTTATCTGGGAAAAATTGCAATTAAACCCCTTTGACACACAGGAATACTCAGAACTTCACTATTTGTGTAAAATAGTGGCTAGTAAGAAAGACACTTGATGCTCAAAAATATTTTATTCTGTATTAGCTTTTCTATCACCGTTATCTCCATTCTATCTGTAGACCACTAAGGGACATGACTAATATCTGTCTCACGTGTTCCATTCTTTCTTTCCTTGCCCCATGGGTAGAATTGTGTGTACAGTGGGATGTTTTGTTTTTGTAAGAGGGATTTTTTTAATCCTCAGTTGTAAAAAAAATATGGTGGTGCCTCCATATCTTGGGTTCAAAGCATACCTTTGTTGTAGCTTCAGATCCCCTGTTTAGTTTCCATCTTTTAATTTGGGAAATCCACTGGAAGATTTCCCAACATAGTTTCCTTCCTGGAAGCAACAGATATGAGAATTCTAAAATAAAGTAGACTTAGAAAGAAATAGGCACTTGCACCCAATTCAGAGACCTGGATTTGAAAGGAACCATTTCAGGCTTCACGTAAGTTTTCTAGAAGGAAAACCAGATACCGTGTGTAGACTGCTGCAATAGATTATTATTCATGGGTGAGCACCAGGAAATCAGGATTTTAAAAATACACTTGATGAGTTAGAATGATTTGGGGTTTTCAGAAGAAAACAACCTGCTTTTTGGAGTATCCATGTCCCAGAAACGGTAAGCATACCACACAGTTTCTGATGACATATGCAATAGTCTTGGGCCTGGTCTGCACTAAAATTTTACCATGTTTTCATGTGGTTGGAAACAATAGTGCTCATGGACATAAGGTTGAATATGATGAAGCAATCACTGTAGACCAAGATAAAACATGTTTACCATCATACCAGCTAATCATGATGAATCCTTCACCTCAGCAAAGGTCTGTAGAAGGATAAGGAGCAACTACAGGTGATGAACTTAAGCTCTGAAGCAGTGATATTTTTTGCATAGCTGGGGTAACTACAGAAGTTCCACTCATTCGTGTGTGATAACCACTTTTGGATTTTTACTACACTAAAATCTGCATCCTGAGCTATGCACTAAATAATTGCAGCTGAGCAATGAATTAGACAAGTTCATTATCTTATGCTTAAAAAGAAAACTGGGATGAGAAAAGAGGTTAGGAGTGGGAGCAAGTGGGAAAGGCATAGGTGACTCGTAGTAGCACTCAGGAGATGAACTGCTCACTTGTGCCTGACCAAAATTTTAATTGCTAACGGGGATGCCTCCACATGCCCCTCTCTGCCCTCTGCCTCTGCAGGCACCAGTCACCCTTGGGCAAAGGAATGTAACAGTGGTCATATTGGGTCAGATCATTGGCCAATCAAGCCCTATATCTTCACTTCTGACAGTGGCCAATGCCAGGTGCATCAGCGGAAATTAACAGAACAGGGCAATCATGGAGCGATCCATCCTCTGTCATTCACACCCAGCTTCTGGCAGTCCAACCCTAGGGACACCCAAAGAAAGGGACTGCAACCCTGCCCATCTTGGCTAACAGCCACAGATGGTTCTATCCTCCAGGAACTTATCTACTTTTTTTATTTGAACAGTTATAGTTGGGGCTTCACAGTTTTCCCTGCTAAGAAGTTCCACAGGTTGACTGGGCTGTGTAAAGAAGTACTTTTTTTTAGCTTCATTGTGTGATCCCTGGTTCTTGTGTTGTGTGAAGGAATAAATAACTTCCTCATTTTCTCAACACCATTCCTGATGTTATAGACCCTCTATCATATCCCCTGTTAATTTGCTCTTTTCCAAGTTGAACAGTCCAGTGGTTTTTAATCTTGCATATGAAAGTTGTTCCATACCCTTCGTAATTTTTGTTCCCTTTTTCCCCTAGTTCTAATATCTGTTTTTGAAATGCAGTGACCAGAACTACTAACAGTATTCAAAGTGTAGGTTTTCCATGGATTTATATTTATATGGCGGCATATTTACTGTCTAATTACCTTTCCTAATGGGTCCTCACATTTTTTATTTTTGACTGCCACTGCACACTGATTGGATCTTTTCAGAGAATGTATCTATGAAGATCCCAAGATCTCTTCCTTGAGTTATAACAACTAATTTAGATCTTATCATTCTGTATGAATAATTATGAAGTTTTTCAATGTGTATTACTTTGAATTACTCTGCATTTATTGACATTGAATTTCTTTTGCCATTTTGTAGCTCCACCATCCAGTTTTCTGAGATCACTTTGTGACTTGTTGCAGTCAGCTTTGAACTTAATTAGCTTGAGTAATATTTGTAGTATGTGTATAGTTCTGCCACCTCACTGTTCATCCCTTTTCCCAGTTCGTTCATGAATATGTTGTCCTGAACAACACTGTTCCCAGCACTAAACCTTGGGAAACCCCACTATTTTCCTCTTGTCATTCTGAAAACTGACCATTTATTCCCAGGCTAGTTTTCTATCTTCACAGCAGTGATATTCAACCTTTTTGAGCATACAGACCCCTTTTCAATCTGTTAAAATTGTATGGGACCCCCTGTAGCCAGAGAGAAACCTCCTCTCTCTCTCCCCCTCCTCCCTCTGACATCCTTGGGAGAGAGAATCCTTGAGAGCAAAACTCTGTCTTCAAAGGCTCCAGGGCCTCCAGAGGTGCTGGAATAACAATGGCCCTGGATACTAGACAGGAACCAGATAACAGCAGCAATTGGGTCAGCAGGTGGTCAGGGGACCTTGGGCTACCTATGGCTGGTATTAGTATTATTACGCCTACACACACTTCCCAGAAGAGGAATCTGTTGCACCATCAGAAAAAGGATGTCTGGCCCCAATGATTTAGTTACTTCCACCTCACAGGTGCAAATTAAGCTTTGGACCCCCTGTGGGAATGGGCGTCACAAAGACGTTCCAACTTAATTGGCATTTTAATGACAAGAGGAAGCGTCTACGTGACCACAGGGTATAAAGTAGGGCCCTGTGCCCCACTCTAATTGGAGATCCACCCACATACCTGCTGGTCAGGTGGTCTTGGACCCCCAAGACTTTAGGGACACCTTAGTCTTGTACTGACTGCTTCCCATTGGGATTGAGAGGAACCTGGCTTCGCTGGAGTAAGGATCACAGGGGTAAGAATATACCTGCTAGCTGTCTGTTTTTACGCACATTTAATAAGAGCTCAGAGAACCAAAAGGGTTTCATGATACCTGTAAGTTACTTTTTATTGTAATTTCTGTCTTGTCCTTTTTGTAGTGGCTGTGTTATCTGTAACACAGCAGTAACATTTAACAGCTAAGCTTGCCTTGTAACAATAAGATAGTAACTGTTTAAGCTTTAACCTGACTCCTTCAGTTGCTGTAACAGAACCAGACACAGTCAAAAGAATCATAGCCGGTCACTGGGTAAACACAGTAAGAGCTGAGTGTTGGGGCGATGCTGCCTTTATGAGGCAGACCCTTGGGGCACCCGTCAGCCTCCCCTGGCTGCCTGCTGCAAAGGGACCCTGTCCTAGCAGCTAAAGACTTGGGTGTAATAAGCTCTCCCAGAGAACTCTTGGGGCACCCATCAGCCTCCCCTGGCTGCTCGCTGCGAAGGGACCCTGTCCTAGCAGCTAAAGACTTGGGTGTAAAACTTTGGGGCACCCGTCAGCCTTCCCGGCTGCCTGCTGCGAAGGGACCCCATCCTAGCAGTTGAAGACTCGGGTGTTTAACAGGGCTCACAGACCACTCACTGCCCTAACCACCGGCTGACACCCCCCCAAGGGGAGCAGTGGCCAGCATGTCCCTTGGCTTGTGCTGCTTCCTTAGCTCCTGCCTCCTCCATCCCATGCCAATCTACGGAGGATATGTTGAAGGGGCTCTCATGGCCAAAGGCAGCTTCTGCCCTGGCACTCTGCCCTTGGCCAGGCAGGGAGCCCTGGGAGAGAAGAAAAGGAAAAGAAAAGTAAGGGTTGGCCCCACCACGGGACTGGGAGGGGGAAGAGTGCTGGAGCATGAATGGGGAACCAAGATTGGATCCCGAGGGTGGGAGGCAGTGTGTGTGTGGCCAGTTGTGAATAGGGAGCCCATGTGATAATGGCTTGGTGGAAAGTCCCAGTCCTGCGGTGGGCCTGATCCTTACTTTTTCTTTCCTAAACTTGCCTCTGACCCCTTACAGTACCGTCATGGACCCCCCAGGAGCCCATGGGCCACAGTTTGGGACCTACTGTTTTACAGCAACTGCTCCATGAGCGGAACCCTCTTATCCCATGACTGCCTTAGGGAGCGGGATGAAGGGGGCGAGATGGAGCGTGCAGAGAGTGAAAGGGAAGAGGCAGGACTAGACAAACGGAAGTCTGGCCCAAGTCCCAGTGCAAACCGGCTTCAGTGCCGCTTTCCCAGCAAGGCTGGCCTTACCATGAAGTGAAGGGAGGCGGCTGCCTCAGGTGCCAGAGTGGGGGGAGGGGACCCCACTAGGACCCAGAGTGTAGAAAATTGTGTCTGCTGCTGGTGCATATGTGTTCTCTCTGCTCTAGCTGCACAGAGAGGGTGGAGGGCTGAGCTGGAGGAAGGAGGGCACAAGAGACAGAACAGGCAGGCAGGAGAAAAGGTGGCAGGGGGGCGCCATTTGAGCTTCCTCACCTCAGGTGCCAAAATGTTGTGGGCCCGTGTATAGGCAAAAAGTGAAACTTCTCAGTTTTTGTCCAGGCACAGAGTGGCCTTAGCTGGGAGGGAAACGCTGTGCTGGGGCTAGCGCGGAGCGGGATGCGGAGCCAGGACTTTCGCCTCTGCCCTTCACTCCTGCTCCGGGGAGCCGAACACGTCTCTGCGCGCGGGCAGATCGGAGAGTTCCCGCAGCGCCCGGGCGGCCCTCGCTGCCCCTGCCTCCCGCGGGGCCATCCGGAGCCCTGGGGAGAAGGGGGGGGGCAAGCGAAGAGCAGCAGGCTCTGGTCCGCTCCGCTCTCGAGTCTGGCCCGGGCGATCTGCCCCGCCGAGGGGGCAAGGCCGTGGGCTGATGGGCGTGGCTTTTGGGGGGCGCTTTGCGCGCCCTGCAGATTGATTTACACTGGACTGCGAGCTGCGCGGCGGCGAAGCCCGGAGCTGAAGACAGGTGCCTCTCGCCTTCTCCCTCTGCCCCGGTACAGTAGCAATAGCCAGCTCCTCCTGGAGCCGGGCCCCGGGACATTGCTTTAGCTAGTCGGAGGTTTTTCCTGGGGCGCTCAGCGTGGTGGGATCCGACTGGTTCAGGATTTTGCATGTGTGCGTCTGCGACGGGATTGAGCCTTTCGCAGTTACCCACCATACAACGCTAGTGCAGTTACTCCGGGTAATAGTAGCACTTACGCTAGCCTGGTTAGGGCACGATCCTGTTAACGTTTATTTGTAAGGGTTTAGCTTAATGGTTTCCTGTAATATTTAGTTTGCAGAACATGGGCACGTTTCATTTTGAGTAATAAGTTTATACTTACATAAGTTTCGGCATAATCATTTATATTAGAGCTTACAGGACCCTGGCCTGAAAACACGGAGAATAAGGGATACGGATTGTCCCTCAATGTGGTGAAAACAGAAGGAATGTATGTTGGTACAGCTAACAGAAACAGGGTGAACGCAGAGAGTATGACTAATGGACAAGTTGTAAAGGCAGTAGATGAATTGAGTTATCTCAGATCTTTTATAGCCAACAAATGAGGTGGTGCCAAAGAAATGGTGGTGCAAATGACGAAAAGACTATTTTTTCCATAGCCATTTATGGATGCGAAATTAATGCTGTTGACAGTTTAAAAAAAAAGAGAACGCTTTTGAAATGAGGGTGCTGGTGAAGATTCTCACATATATTATGGATGGGAAGAAAAGATGAATGTGTGTGTTAGAACTATTAGTGCAGAGAAACAGTCCCTGATGGAAATCAGCAGATGCACATTGGTCACATTAAGTGTAGAGATGGAAATCTCTTTGAGACAGTTATTAAAGTAGGAATGATGGTGGCCCTTGTACTAGGGGACAGCCAGTAAGATGCATGGATGGCGTGCAGCTGGGCAATCAGCTGTTGAGTGGCTTATGTTAATGGATTGTAAAGTTTCTGAAAATTCTAATGTGATAACATTGATATTCAAACCTGTAAACACTCATGCATTTGCTTAACTTCATTCACACACATTGTCCCCTGAAAAGAATAAAACAGTGAGACTACTTGAGTGAGTGGAAAGAATCATGACAGCAGAATCAGGTCTTGAATATATTCAACAACTTGCAAGTTGCCAAATTAATTAATAATCAAGTTTACAGTACAGACATTACCTTGTTTCTCCCTGTAAATACTTGTTTTTGTGAGTTGTTTCTGAGTATCTGCGATCTAAAAAGTCAAAAGCCAGCCCATGAGTGAAAGGATTACAACACATGCAATACTCTTTTCCATTTTCAAACAAACACTGTGGAGAAATATCTTAAAAATAATGTAAGTATTAAATCAGATATTTCTACAGGATATTGATTGTCCCCAGATCTCATTTTCTTCTATGGGCATTGGAATGGACAGGAAATGTAAGCACCCTACAGCTCAAAAGTAGTACACAAAATGAAATCTGCAGGTGTGTGCGTGTGTGTTGTGGGAGGAATCACTACTAGAGGGTTTTTATTAAAAAATCAATTTGTTGGAACCTAGTTATTTATTAAACAAAAAAAGGACTAGGTCAGTAATTAATTTATTATTATTATTATTTTATTTTAGTCTGTTTATGAATGTTTGATTAAAGTATTCCCTGTTCTGTGAAACACTGGAGCAGGTAGTAATTAATTTGAAGTTTTTCATTCCAGATTTAAGGACAAAAATGGAAAAAAGGAAATCAATGCAAGGCAGGAAATAATTAGAGCATATTTATTTATAATCAGAGTTTCTTGATTTAGTATTTTAAATAGCTTTATATAAAAGTTCAAAGGGATTTAGAAACAAGAAATATTAAGAATTTATTGGAGATAGATTAGGAGGGACTATTTTTCAAGTTTGGCTTTTTTAACACTAATCATTCGTGTTATGTTTGTTCTGTCCCTCTTTTAAATTTTAGGTAAAATCATGCCTACCCAAATCTGGAAAGGATGGGTCATTTATGTGGTCATAATGACAAATGGCTCTGAAGAAAAAGCCACAAAGAAGCTGTGTCCTTCCTGTGATACCACTCATTTTTGTGACTGTTCTTCAATGAATTTAAGCACCATTCCTTCAGGACTAACAACTGATGTCACAGGGCTAAATCTTTCCTACAACAGAATCAAATCTGTTACAGAAACTGATCTACAGCTGGGTGTGAATCTCAGAGTGCTGCTCCTGCAAGCCAATCAAATTTGGACAATAGATAAGGATTCATTTGTTTTCCTTGGAAAATTGGAACATTTGGATTTATCAGATAATAAGCTGAGTCACTTATCACACAGTTGGTTTAGATATCTTTTTTCCTTACAGCACCTAAACATACAGGGTAATTTATATACAATATTGGGGGACAATCCCTTGTTTTCTAATCTCAAAAATTTGAGCTATCTGCATCTGGGGAATAAAAATTTCTTCTCTGCTATACGGAAACAAGACTTCGATGGAATTACAGTTCTTCAGCAACTTGACATTCGTGGTCAAAGGCTCAAGCAATATGAGTCAGGGAGTCTGACAACAGTGAACATAAATCATATAATCATAAACATAAATGATGTTCATGTGTTATCACGGATGGTAGAAGATTTAATACATTCTGTAATATGTTTAGAACTGAGAGAGATAGACTTCAGAACAGCTAATGAATCTTCGTTACTGGAACCAATGAGTCGTTCTGTCATGCAGAAATTTGTGTTAAAAAGTGTTTTGTTTACAGATGCAAGCATTAACAAAATGTTAAATATCTTGGTGTATACTGAGCAATTGTTGGAGCTAGAGTTGGACAACTGTACACTTCAGGGAACGGGACACTTCCAAGAAGAAATTAAAATAAAGAGAAAAAGCCCTGTAGAAATAGTAACAATACAGAGCTTAAATATAGAACAATTTTACTTATTTTCAGATCTTAGTAGTTTGAAAAATCTTATAGCTAACATTACCAAAATCACAACTGTAAATACCAATGTCTTCTTGGTGCCTTGCAGCATTTCAAGACATTTTTCCTCCCTCCTTTATCTTGATCTCAGTGAAAATTTGCTTGCAGATCCAAGTTTGAAACATTCATCTTGTGAAGGTGCATGGCCCTTGCTGCAAACTTTCAATTTAAGTCAAAATTCACTGGGTGATTTAGAAAAGACAGGGCGAAGTCTATCTCATTTAAAACATCTTACTCACCTAGATATTAGCCGAAACAATTTTGGTGAAGTTCCAGAATCGTGTCAATGGCCGGAAAACCTGAAATATTTCAATATTTCAGGCACTCAGATAACCACGCTGACAGCTTGTATTCCTCAAACTCTAGAAGTTTTGGATGTTAGCAGTAATAACCTCAATGATTTTAGATTAAAGCTACCATTTCTCAAAGAGCTCTACATTTCAAATAACAAATTAAAGAACTTGCCAGGTGCTGAATTTATTTCTAACTTGGTGTCCCTAAGAATCAGCAGAAACAAATTAACCAGTTTCTCTAAGGAAGAATTTGGATCATTTAGGGAAATGAAGACACTGGATGCTAGTGACAATAATTTTATCTGCTCTTGTGAATTTCTCACCTTCAGTCAGGGCCAGGAAGGAATAACAAATGTCTTGGCTAACTGGCCAGAAAACTACATCTGTGACTCTCCGTTTTCTGTGAGAGGGCAGCAGGTGAAGGCTGCTCGGCTTTCACTGTTTGAATGTCACATGACTTTGGCTGTGTCCTCAATTTGCATTCTAGTGTTCTTAGTAATCCTGTTTATTGTTATCCTGAGCTACAAACTTCATCTGATCTGGTACATGAGAATGACCTGGGCTTGGCTTCAAGCAAAAAGGAAACCCAAGAAATTACTCAATCAGGACTTTTGCTACGATGCTTTTATTTCCTACAGCGAGAGAGATGCCGAGTGGGTTGAAAACTTAATGGTACAGGAACTCGAGCATGCTCTCCCCCCATTTAAACTGTGCCTTCATAAACGGGACTTTTTGCCTGGGAAGTGGATCGTTGACAACATCATTGACTCCATTGAAAAAAGCCGTAAAACTCTGTTTGTGCTGTCAGAGCACTTTGTTCAGAGTGAGTGGTGCAAGTATGAGCTGGACTTTTCGCATTTCCGTCTGTTTGATGAGAATAATGATGCAGCAATTTTGATCCTTTTGGAGCCCATTCAGGAGCAAACAATTCCCAAAAGGTTCTGTAAACTGAGGAAAATAATGAACACAAAGACCTACCTTGAGTGGCCTCTTGATGAAAGTCAGGAACCAATATTTTGGTTTAATTTGAAAATAGCATTAAAATCCTAGTAAATGTTTGTCTCGACTAAATCAGTAACGGGTCCACTATAAGAGCCTGATCCTATTACATTTGCAGAATTAGGCTCCTACATTTGCCAGAAAGGTGAAAACACTGGAATTTCTATGTGGTGTTCTGAAAATAGTTTTAAATCATTTTATGTTTTGTTTTGGCCATTTATTGTCTCTACATTTCAATCTTCATCTACTAATGAAGTCTATGTTAAGGGAATATATAAAATGAAGACCAAACGTTATTTATAGATTTGTCCGTGTGCTCTATGCATGCGTGTCGGAAAAAGGCTGTAGTGTGAAAACATGCAAAATCTGGTGCAATTCTGTATTTTTTATAAAAACTATTTAAAATCAGTTGTCATCCTATTAATTTATATGCTAGTAGCACCCATGCCATCGAATGTCCGACTCCTCAAAGATATTAAGGCACCTAACTCCTTTTGACATCATTTGGAATTAGGCACCTGAATACCTTGACAATTTGGAACTAAGTGTGTGCCATATTATTAGACTGGCAATGGAAGAACATTAATTGACTTCATGGTGTCTTCTGCGTCTCAGTGTTCCCTGGTTATGGGGTCTTTTTTTGGGTGTAGGTTTTTGGAGGTGGGGTGGGAAGCAGTTTGAAAAAAGTAATCTGATTATGGCTTTATCAAAGTGTTAAAGCTAGCTCTTTAAGTTTGTAAAGTAAAACAATGTAAAGAAAATAAATCCAGAATTATAAATATATTGTAATCTAATTAAACATTTGGCTAATGCTCAAATTTATTAATTCTTTTTAAAGTCTGCTATAACTCGCATTTAAATCAATTGGGAAACTTCCCATTTGACTTCCGTTGCAATTGAACCATGATAAAAATTTCAGAAGTCCATATTAGGGATGTTAGTGTATACTTGTGTAAATGGTTAACTGATAAGCCTGGTCTGTCCATTAACCCAAATGATTATAGCACTCCTCCCCCCTTGCTGCCAGCGGCCGCAAGGTCGGAGATGCAGGAGCCAGTGCCTGTGGAGAGCACAGTCCCTTCTTTGTCTGGCGAGTAGGGTTTTCCATAATTTGTCGAGCCCTGTACATGCCTGTGTGCACATGTGAACATAGCTATAAAACATTATGCAGTTCAAGAACAGTATATACTAAAGAGAAATGTATGCAAATGAGCACAAGACCATGAGCTGTTCATTGTTATGGAACTGCCTCTTGAAATAAGGCAGAAGAATCTCATCCTGCATGATCACTAATTTCACCATGCTTTCTTAAAGGCAAAAATTCCACCCTCAGTGCTCTTCCTATTTGCTGAAGTTTTACTGTTTATTCTTCATCCATTTCTTATTCTCTATATAGAAACTTTAAAGTTATCCTTAGTTGGCTCAATGTAACTTAAAATTTATCCTAGAATATGATCCATTTAAGTGAAGCTGTGTAGTCTGAATACAGCTGCTATTATATATGCCCTGGAGAAATTACCCTTCCAGGGGCAGCTTCACTGATTCCTGAGAAGCAGAATACAATCTCTCATAAATGATCTGTGTTGTAGACCCTCCTTTTTGGGCTGAGGAAATACATTAGTCAGACTCTGAGGAGGAAGGATCCCATATATCTTTTGAATAATGCCTCTAGTTTAGCTAACACACGGAATTGTGGTTATGGATCCTGTTTTCACGCATCCTTAGTGGGAGAAATGGTTGCTATGAGGTGGCCCCTTAGAATATGAGGGGAGACTAAAGGGTCATCCTGAAAAAAAATTACTTCTTTGTTGGGGAGTTGGTGGGAGACAGTCACCGGCAGTGGACTATGTCTACAGAAGTTCATAAGGCCAGAAATTAAATGGAAGGAAGCATTTTACATTGCTGATACCACAAAGTGGCACTTGTTTTAATTCTGAACAACTCACTTATTAAGAACTGGACTACTTTACACAGTTAGGTTAATTTAACTGCATCACACAGGACTGTGAAAAATTTCCCAGCCTGTTCAATGTAATTAACCCAACCTAAGTCCAAGCACAGACACCAGTAGGTGGATGGAAGAATTTTCACACCAACTTAACTACTGCCTTTTGGAGTGGTGGATTTACTACAGTGATAGAAGAACCTCTTTCTTGCTGTAATAAGTGTCTGTGTAACCCATACACCTACGCTACATATACACTGTGAGCCTCTTCTGCAAGAGGAAATGCAAATGGAGCATTCGTTTGCATATGTCTCACTCTCATTTGCATTTCCTCCTCGGATCCCTTTTGCACAAGAGGTTTTTGTGCAAAAAAGTGCTTTGTAGGCGGTTACTTTTTGTGCAAAAACCCCGTTATGCACAAGAGCCGTTCTTCCTCAAAAAATGAGGAGTCCCAGCTGACCCTGGGCTACATGTGCGGCACTGCCCCTTTCAAAGCGGCAGCACCGCACACTGATCCAAGGCTCAGTAGTGTGGTCCTTCTGTTTTGAAGTACCCCCTCTTTGCTGCCTCTATCTGATAGAGGCAGCAATGGGAGACGGAGGAGGAATCGACTTAGTTGACTGACTATCCAATAAGCACTTGCTGACTATCTGATAACTCTAATCCTTAATATCCCACGTCTAGTTTTAATCTGTGTACAATGGCACAGATGTTGTAGTGTTTCAGTGTACACACTGCCAACACCAAAGAGGCGAAGTTCTCCTGTCACTGTAGGTAATCCACCTCCTCAAGAGGCAGTAGCTAGGTTGATGGATGAATTCATCCGTTGAGCTAGCACTCACAACAGTGGTGGTAGTGATAGAAATGTAGCCGTGTAGACCAATACTTAGCAGTAAAAGGGCTGTAGTGTCTTCAACCAAAATGGAACTTTCTTGTAGCAAAGTCAGTTTACCCTACCAAAATATAAGGCCCACCCCCATGTATTACTATCCCACTCTTGCTACACGTATACATTTTTCTTATTTGACTGATTGAGGATAGGAAAATTATAACAGGAAAAAATACATAACATAGTAGACATAAAAATACTAGTTTCTGACACTAAAGATTGAACCAGGATATATCTAACCAACTCAAAAACTTGAAAAGCGTGGCAATAACAAGTTGAATTGCTTACCGCTTTCGAATCTCCTACTGTGCTATTGTTAAAGCACTCACAAGTCTTTCACTTCCACCTTCAACAGATCCCAAGAAGCAGTATGTACCTCAGCTTCACAGAAATTGCATCCTTATGCAAAAGCTTATTATTATCTGTGACTTCTGATGCCTTTGTATCTACAAAGGAGTACATGTGAGGAGATTATTTTGCAGTTTTCTGATTACCTTCAGTGGAGTTATGATTAGAACAAGCAGTTCTTTAAAGAGGTATGCACTGATACAGCAACAGCAATGGGAAGAGAGGTGCCTATGGCGGATAGTGGTATAGTCAGGTCTTGTCTACACTGCTCTGCAGGACTGTAGGGTTGTGACTAGTAGGGTGCACCAAAGTATTACACTGTTGCTTTCTAGTGTGTGCACTGTAGACATGAACTAAAAGGATCCTACTTCACATTAACTTAGTCTTCTTCCAGCAGGACTACCTTAATACAAAACATAAGCCATTTAATTTATGTCCACAGCACCCACTGGGAGTGACACAGCAGCATTTTTGTACACACTGCTATTAGGGATGTTAGATTTAGTTTAATCAACTAATCGAATAGTCAACCCTGGCCAGCAGTCTCTTAATACATTTAAAAAGCTGGTGTGCAAGGAGGGCGGGGGAGACCTGGTGCAAGCTGGGAATCAGGTGTCTTGGCTTACACAGGGTCTCCCCCGCTGTGCACCTGCCAACTCTTATTACATTTAAAAGGCTGGTGCGCAGTGCTGGGGACCTGATGCGAGCAGGGACAGCTGATTCCCAGCTCACGCTGGTCCCCCCGCTTGCACTTCTGCTTTTTAAATGCATTAAGAGCCAATATGCTTTTAATACATTTAAAAAGCAGAGACGCAGTGTTTGAGACTGGTTATGACATGGGAATCGGCTGATTCCTGGCTCAAACCTGGTCCCCGCTATCGCTCTGCTTCCCCTGCTCCCCCCCCCCCCCACGGAGACAGAGCTGGGGGGAACTGGCTTTTAATCCGGCTCTTCCAAGCACCGGCTTGTACTCCCGCCCCCCTGCTGCCTCTGATAGCAAACTTGAGTTAGTCCTGACAGCTATGGATGGTCCTCTAAATAATCCCATTAATGGGTGTTGCTAAGACTGTCTGATAATAGACTGTCTATTTAGGTCTGCTGCAGGTCTGAAAATTTAAAAAAACAAAAAGAAAACCCCAGCCCTAAAGGAATCTGTGAGCTGAAATGTCAAAAAAATTGCATTTCAATTTCAAGGTTTTATTTGAACATTTTCAGACAAACTCATTCCAAAATCACACTTTTTCATTGCAGAAAGAACATTTTGTTTTGGAAATACCCAAATAAAGCAATGAAATTTCTATTTTTTTTCTTTTTCAGACCTCAACAATGAGCCAAAATCAACCCAAATTTGCAAACTGTTTCAGTTGAGCTGAATCTGTCCATAAGCCAATCCTAAATTTCAGCAGCCGGGGCTACCTATCAGAACGGCTCGGTTCTTTAAGGGTCACAGGCCTCAGCCCTGTCTGGGACAAGCTTTGCTCATGTCCCCAGATGGGGAGGATGAGTACTAATGAATGAGGTCATGACTGAGGCCAGGCCAAGGCATATAAGGGAGAGGCCTGAGGGACAGTGAGAAGCAGGTTCTCACTTTAGTTGGGTAAGGCTGGGACTGCTAGGCAGGAGAGAGGCAGCTGGCCAGAAGAAGCTGTAGCAGGTGAGGGCTGCAACTGTTTAATAATACACAGCTTCAGAAAGGAGGGGCATAGGGCCTTGTGATACAATGAAAGAGATTGAATCCAGCCCCTTCCTTGATGTCCACAAAGATTTTCTGTCCACAGACTGACATTTTGAATGTATTTCGAAATAGCTTATTTTGAAATTTGGTGCTATCTACACAGACATCTCTTAACCCTTGTTCCACAAGGCTTATAGGGATGCCGGAATAGAGCACCCATTATTTTGAAATTAACTTCAAAATAACGAGCACATGTAAAAGACGCAGAACAGTTATTTGGTATCCCAAAAAAGCTCCGCTGTCTAGACGTACTCTCTGGGAATGTAGCTGTCCTTAGTGAAGGCTAATTGCTTCCTTAAGAAGAGAAGACAAGACCTGTAAAAAGGGAAACATTGTAAGGCTCTTTCACTGGGTTTTGGAGAACTAATAAGTAGAGTCACCTACTGCAAGAAGGAGTCCTTTATTTTATTTTTTTTCCCTCTTGTTTACATGGACTTAGGTTGAGAGAGACCCTATTTTTGCCTCTCTTTGTTTGGATCAGATTTTTATGTTGCTATATAGGGATTGTGACTCCTAACTCATACCACTAAATACTCACTCATTATACTATATTAAGAAATTACTTTTGAAACTAAGATCAGTCAGAAAGTAGAGTTTGCCTATGGCACAGTAAAAGATTTCTTTAAGGAAAGATTAGATAAACTTCTCCAAAGAGTAGGAGGGACCTTCTTTCTAAAAGCATGGGGCTATTACTAGACTCAAGAGATCACTGCCGGCCCATTTGACCATCATTCAAAGTAATAAAACCAGCACTACCCTATAGGGGAAGCCATGTAATCCGAGCAAATCTCTACTAAATCTCTCCCCATCACTCCATAGTAGAATCCATAAAACAGCAATATCACATGAAAATCCATTGAATCTTCTGTCTTGATTCTGTAT